ATTGCAAAGATAACTTAGAATTTGATTATCATATTCACATCTTATCTCACTATTATTACATATTTCATATTTTTATATCGATTAAGTTGTATTTTATCACTATCATTGTATTATTATCATTATTATTTTCTTTATAATTATTATTTTAATGTAACTATTTATTCGTGTTATATTTTACAACAACCCAAGAAATCATTCCTTCCTGCCACATTAAATAACCTTGAATCGTAAGTTCATAATCAATTATACCAACAATCGTAACTTTACAATACAATACCATAGCCCGATTATTATATTAATAAAACATATTTCCCCGCGATTTCCGCTCGGTCGCGGCTTCTAATCCGAAAATATAGTTCGTAATCGTATTCAGCGCCGCCATTGAACATAGATGCACTAGATGTCCTTTCCCAAATTCCATTAACCGTTCTACACCATCTCGGGACGTAACACTTTACATGTCACATTTTTCTGTAAGGGTAAATCCTCATTGAGGATCATCACTCGTCGCGTCACCCATTGAGATATGACGCAACGAGAGGTAAATTTAAAGATAGCATCGTTCTTATTCACATTGAGTGCATGGCATTGCCACAAATCAACGCAACACATGAGCGAGCACTAACCTAATATTAAAATAAAATCGTGCATAAACATAACACTTCTCTATCTCTGTATATATATATATATATATATATATATATATATATATATATATATTAATTTGTGCGAAATAAAATATCTTAAGATTGGAAGTACTCTTAAAGATATATAAGTATATACACAGGGTGTTTTATTTTAAGTGATATGATTGATTATCTCGCAAATCGATGATTTTATTGAAAAATGTTTCGAACGAAAGTTGCATAGCTTGAAGGGGGAAACATAATGGAAATGTGAATTTGAGTGACCTTGCGTGATCTTGTCAAAATCAGATCAAGGTCAAATCAGTTAATGTTTTTTTAATAAAAATATTTTTTATTACATATTCTTGTAGCTTATTTTGAGAGCTTTCCAAAACACTATGCCTCAGGAATGTCTTATATTAAAAATGCACCGTTTTCGCCAAACTATTATTAAATCAATTTCTTTATTAAATTATTTTTATTTTTATAAACATTAAATTTTCTTTTTAACATATTTTATGTGTTAATATATAGCACAGTTATACTGTGACGTAAGGTTGTTAAGCATAAGAAATGAAAATAATTCATTTAAGTAGATTCTTAACTATGCCTTACAACCTTATAATCTTATATTATGTCATTGGAGATTAGACTTTAGAATACGCAGATTACACTTACGCAAGTTATGCCGTATGTGACGGCATCCTAACCATTGGAGTGAGCATTCCAGTATAGTGTAGAGTTCACTGGTCACTAAATGCGTTCAGAAGTAACATCCAAGTGCACTTAGATATTATTTTATTTTTATTTAACATCCAATAAAAAACAATAAAATGTACATTCGATATCTTTAAATCAGCCTTGGGAGTCAGTCATGTAATTTCACGTGAAATTTCTCACTTTTCATTTTTCAGTTTTCACTTTTTATTTTTTACACATCGACATTTCACGCGATTATATATGTACTGTTACGTTCCGGCGGAGACAATAGTAAGGTCTATTCTACAATGCGTTATGTGCGGTGTCGCAAGCCGCAAGCCACAAGAATTGACCAATCACAGACGAATGTGGGGAGAATACTTGATTGTGATTGGCCCATTCTTACGATCCACAACTCACGACACCGACATTCGACGCATTATAAAATAGGTCTAAAGCTTGTTCTATAATACGTCTAGAGACGCCTATTATAAAAATTTTTTATTTAACAATTTTTTAATAAGATATTTTTTTATTAACTTTGCGTGACTTTGAACTTTTTCAATATAATTTCAAGCTTTGAAATGGATTATTTTTGCAGAAATAAATGTTTAGTACAAAAAATATTACAATATATAAATTCAAATTTATTACAAATTTTATTTTATATTTCGTAAAATTATTTAATATTTTATATAAAAAAAGTAAAGAGAGAATTATCTTTCAACAAAAATGCTTTTGTTGGTCCACGATGATTGATCCGATCAATGCTGAGACAGAGATTATTGATCACGATTAGTTTAGAGAAATTTAGAGAGTCTATTGGTTGAATGCCATTGCTTTGTCCGATCAGAGATCTGGGCATCAATCACGTAAGTTTTCCCTTAGAACGAATAAGAAGTGACACGTCTCATATGGATTTTATCATTTTATGATCACGTAATTTTAATTCCGATGAAAGCGTGAGATATTTAGCGTAAAACTTTTCATCATCAGCTGACATAGTTAAACAGTGAAAATCTAGTGTTTTTTAACCTACACGGCATATATAATAATTGGTAAAATGGCCGTAGTTTTTTGGGTTTTAAATCTGGCAATAGATTTTAATTTTAATTTTTAATGACTATGTATTCCGTTATAGATAAATATTCATATTTTTTACAAAGATAAATTGTTAGTATAACACATTGCCAAGATGTAAATTGAAAAGATGTAATACTTAAAAAATAAAGTGAATCAGAAAGAAAACAAAATATTGTGATTACATTTTTTTATTATTTATTAAACTTGCCATAAATAAACATCATTTAGTCAACTATAACATTTTCAGAAAACTTATCTAATATTACATATAAAATAGTTACCATTTCCGCCATTTATATTCTCTTTATCAGCTTCATTTTCTAAATTGTGATTTATAATTTCTAATTAAAGAACATTTTTTCCTGCAAAATTTAATGTGTAGACACTTTCGATAAATGCAGATTCATTTAATGACTCATATTCTTTGATGAATTGCAACTTATCACTTTGGGCATCTTCAAGCGGGCTTAATTTTCAAAGCTGGCTTATCTCTTATGCTCCTGTTTTTTTGAAATACAAACACTGAAATAGAAAAATTTTTTAAATGAAAGTATATATTTCAAATAAATTAATAAATTGTTGCAACTTACAATTATTAGTAATTATCTTCCTTATTGTCGATGATGTATTTATCGTCTTTCCTATCTTTGGATATAAATATCTATTCCTAAGTTCGTATCTCTTTATTTTGCTAAATATTAAGGTTATATTTACAGTCGTGAAGTTGCCTTCAGTGTTTTTGGAATATTTTGATATAAATCTTCACTATTTCTAGTTATGTCACTAATAATTTCTTTCGCTGCGTGATTGCAATGAAAATGACAAACGGTGAAACCGTGAGATGGCCATCGGTGAAAATCGAAAAGTGAACTATGTCACTGAGGGCCTCTTTCACCAATCTTTGATTAAGTTAACCGGCGATTAACCCGCAGGAGTGCTAACTGTAATTTAATGCTCAGAAAGTAGTGTGTTTTTTAACCTAATATTCTTTTCGTGTTATAGATATTTTGGTAGATAGATGAAATTGTAAGTAATATCCGATAATGAATATAAATAAAAATTATTAAACAATCATTCGCTTAAACAAAAATTTTAATACTTATCTGCGTCTATGGCTGCGTTCAGCAGAAAAAGTAGATCAGTGAGCGTTCGGTGATTTTTCAATATGATTGGTTCTTGCTTTTAGATCTTCGTTGAATCTAAGTGTAAAACCAATCATAATAAAGAATCATTGAACGCTCATTGATCTGTTTTCTCTGCTGAACACAGCCTATAATAAATAGTTTATTTCTCAGTTGTTGGCAATCTTGATGGTCGAGTTAATCGTCAGTTAGCTTAACCGAAGATTGGTGAAAGAGGCTCTGAAAAATACGTAATCGATCATTTGTCGTAAACACCCATGCACCCAACACTGGATGTTTTCCATAGGAAAGCACCCTCAATAACCAACAAATATTTTCTTTTCCTAGGAACAAAAGTGCCACCAACTGAAATCCCTTGGAAACAACACTTTCCATTGCACGATAGCGCTAGTGTGAGCCGGAAGCGAACGAAATGCTGGAACGCGTGCCATTTCCGGCCGGTCATCTTCGCTTTTCTGCTTCCGTCGCGAGACAGCTTGTGCCAGGTGCAAGTGTCGCTTCATCGTTCCAATCGAGTTCGAAAGAACGAACGGCGAAATCCACATTATTCTCTCCTTAGGAGAGACGGATATTCGGGAAAAAGAACACGCGCTCGCGTAAGAAGGAATTCTAAATTACTAGAAGCCCTCGAGATAATTCATATTCTTGTTTCTGCAGTCTTTTCTCGTACCATTTATCCAAAGGAGCGGCACGATGACGGACAATCGTAAGTATTCATTACGAAAATTATGTATGTGTAAGCGCTATGTAGTCTTCTCTCCCAGCGTATACTTGGGAAATGTATCTCTATACAAACTATAGATACGATCCAAGCTGGAAACGGAACCGAAAGCATAACGATTGATGCTATCGATTTTATTACGAGAGCGAAAATGGCGATTGGCATAGGCGTCGAAAATGCATTGCGTAGAGCCGGGATGAAATTTCGAATTATTGAAGAAATCGTGATGAATTCTTTCGAACTTAAAGACGAGCGAGAATCAACTTTATTGCAGATTCCTTGAACTCTTAAATGCACGAGTTTATTGAAATGCCTATTTATTTTTCTTTAATATCTAATTTATGTGTTATAACATTAATGATTCCTAATTTTAAATTGTTTTATGTAATGTACTCAAAGAGTGACAGTATCAGAGAAATCTTGTAAAATTGGATCTGATAATTGAAATATTTAAATTTGGATTTTACAGAATATTCCAGTTACCAACAGCAGGGATATAATCAGTATAGTCAACCACCTCCTACAGCTGGTCAAGATACATCGTATCCACCTCCATCATCTGGTGGAAGTGGCTATAATCAATACAGTCAGCCACCTCCAAACACTGGCACCAACTATGGCAGTTACAACAATTATAATTCTAATAGTGGTCAAGACTATAATCAATCGCAGAATCAAGGCAGTTATGGTGGGCAAAATAGCTACAGCGGAAGTGGCAGTGGAGATGGCAGTAGCAATTATGGAAGCTATGGAAATGGTGGAGGCAGCAGTGGAGGATATAGTCGCAATTCTGGTGGTTCTTATAGTGGAGGTAGATTTTTTTTACAATTAAAGATTTTTGGACTGTATCCTGCTCCTTTATTCCTTTTTGTAAAATTTTCTTTTTTCCAATTTTTTTCTAATTTGTCAGTTTTTTTCAAGAAATCTAGTCTCTACTATTTTGTAACTGACAATTCTAAATCTATTTTGTTTTCTCTTTTTAATACAGATTGTATTCTATGCTTATCATGTGTATATTTTAGGCCAAGGAGGTGGCGGTGGAGGTGGTAGATATGGCGACCGCGGCAGTTACGGAGATCGCTCCGGCGGTGGTTACAAGTAAGTTCATTTTCTAAATTTTTAATATGCATAATGAAGCGACAAACGGACACCGGCGTATTAAATTAAAATCAACAGCCGCTGCATTCATAGTAATCAATCTCACAGTAAGCGTTCTTTGCCGAAGCAAAATCAAATCAAAGGTATGCCATTCTTAATGCCAATAAATGGAAAAAAGTTTATTGAATCATCATTAATGAATCGGTTTTGTGCCCAACTGGGCGTTAATATGTTTGAAGTATGCCTACAGGTTTTTAACAGACCGATATAACTGAGGTAAATAGAAAAGGTAAAAGAAAAAAACAGTATTTGACAATTGACGTAAAAAAAGGCTGTAATGTCGACACTATTCGCTGTTTCTGAAATATCAGCAAACACATAACGTATGCACACGTACATATACATACATACGTAACACACACGACGTATACATATTGTGTGGCAGCTAAATGTAAAGGTCTTAAAGTCGATTAAGACTCTAAAGCGATTGATGTCGCCACTGAGGCCACTGTTATATTATTATCTCTATTAGGTGTATCATATATTATTAAGCAATTGTAAGGTTTTTAAAAATCTATTGTAAGAGATTACAGATATTGTCTTATTCCATCGTTAACATAGGTTATATTAAGTAAAAAAAAAAGAAAGAAAAGGACAAGTTTAAAAAGATGAAATTATATTATAATGATGTATTCTGCTTATTTGCCTTCGGAGCGATACATGATTTTACTGTGCGTATCGTTACTTCTGGCATTTTGGTATTATTCAAATAGGTACTTTTTCGAAAGATATCACTATTTTCTTTTTTTCTATTACGAACAAAGATGAAAGGTAAAGTACGTCGTGTGCGTCGGGTTATATGCTGTGCATTTACAAATTTCTATGTCCCAATTGCAACAGAATCAACGGCGGATTGCAGCGGACAGTATTTCTTTTCAGCAAAGTGTTTTTCTCTCGTCACGCGCAAGTAGTCTCTTACTTTTATTTTGTTTGGAAAAAAAAGAAATGACGGGATATATATGTATATATTATATGTATGTTTAAATGGAACTTAGGCATGCTTTTACCGAGATTCGTTTTTCCCTCGAGATTTGTTACGTCGACTCGATCAAAACAGACAACACTCCGATTCAGTTTTTTCCCCCTCTGTCTTTATCTTTATCTCTCTTTCGATTTAATCATTGTCATCGTTTCTCATATCATAAAACTGTAAAACTTTGCATGCTAAACAAGACTGACGGACGTTATTTGACAGCGGGACGACCGGTTTAATGTATATCATGATATGGTATGACTGTACAGACATTTAGACAAATAGGTACATCAGTCAAGAAGAAAAGGTGGCGAGCGGCATACGATTCGCCATGCATCAATCGATCGATCAGTCTGTCCATGAGTCAACTCATTGGTATATCTGCTTCTGTGTTTTAGCAGTGGCGGTGGCCGAGGTGGTTATAACAAAGGTAAATGCACCAGACTGTTTGTACTAGTCTGGTGCTAAAATATTCTAGCTTTCACTCTACTATTTACGATCTTAAATACTCGGTTACTCGGTGTTATATGAAAGGGCTGCTAATGCAACATTGTTAGGATATATGCAATAGATAAGCGTGCGATATCTATCTCTCAAATGGCAATTTTCACCGTGAGACATGATGAGCCGCGCAACGCTCATTGAGAGCAAGGAATGGAGGAGAACGAGCACGAAACCGTTCGTGTTTCGTCTATAAATGTGTAAAAAAAGACACTTGCCAATCACCAATTGCTTTTTTTAAATCCTGTACGAACAATGAATCGCACGGGTGTCATTTTCCTATGTATCGTCAAAAACAAGATTTTTTTTTTTCGTACATAAGAGTAGGATGTTTCTCTGTGTGCCTTCCAAAATTAAATATTTTAGATGTTTCGTAAGATTGTTGTGCCCAACCAAAAGTTCCGCACTGTGTGCGTCCTTGATGACGTTCAGTGGCTATTTTGGGAAGGCCCTTAAAAAGGTTGAAAGGTTTTCTAAAAAAAAAAAAGGTATAACAAAATAAGGTACTGCGAATGAACACTACGTTCATTCAGCAATATATAGCGAAGTAAAACGATAGTTGTATGATAACGAGGGTCGTGATTGATTTTTTGGATATGTACAATTTTCAAATGTGTAAACGTACGAGCGCGCGAGGAGAGCAAATAAAAGGCAGCTGGTGAGCCTACTTACCGATCTGTGATTAAATGTCAAGGGTAAGAAGTAATGTTGCAGCCCTTTTGATGTTCAGCTGCAACCTTGTGTTCTATATGTACC